GAATTTTACTCAACAAAGACGATGCAAATTACCCGGCTTCCTTTGTAACTCTTCCATAAGCAGTGGTTGCCATTTATTGTATGGTCTGAACCGGTAAACCTCCGCTAATGAGGATTACCTGAAATCCATGTTTTTGGATTTTTTGCTAGTAAATTCAGAGGGTTCGTACAATGAAATCAAATTGCATTCCTACCCAAATTAATTTGTTTCAAACGGACTTTGGTGTAACCGTTGAAAGTGAATTAGGATGCGTCAATTCAGTCACCAGTACAGCCTCCTTTAGGTTGATCGCTCTCCAATTTTTGCTCTACAATCAACGCAATTTTATTCTCCGTCCTGTGGTTAGTGGCCGACTGATCCTCATTCAATCAAATGAACCACAAGGCTAGTTTTCCGAAAGTCTGCCTACACTAGCATTGTTGATTTTTCTCACACCCCATAAGGCTTCTCTTCGCCGAACTAACTAACTCCGAACCATTGACCTTGGTTCAATGCCACCGCAATGGTTTTTAAGACAACTCAGCGTACCAGAAGGCAACCGTCTACAGGGCTACGCTAGCTTCTACTCAACAACACTGCGAAGCCTCATCGCATTTCCGCCAGCTTCATTTCTGCCAATTATCTCGCAGTGTTATTCTAATAAGCCTGAATTAACTGAGGAGAACTAGGACCTGACCCAGACAGAGGCAAGTGAACGCTATCAACGCTGCCTCGTCTATTTTGTCAGTCGGGTAACGATTTAGCACACTTGGACATCAAAACAAAACCGCCTTCATAATGTCGTCGTGACTAGTATGATGACGTCGTACATAGTGGGTACAATTCTGATAAAAAACTGACAGGGAGCGATCGTCCAGAGGCAGCCGACTGGGGACTCGCAAACCTAGACAGCCTGGCGTTGTTCATCGCTTGCCCGTCACACCCTCATCCCACTGGCCTGGATTTCGGACTGCTACGTTTTCCTCACTAGATAGTTTATTCCTTAAGGTGAATTCTACAAAGGTGTACAGCCCCATTAGCCCCTTGGGATAAATCACAACGAAAAGTAATCAATGTATTTATGAACGCATTCATTAGGAAAATCCACAAGAGATTGTTTATAAAGGAGCATGCGAAACACAAGTATGACTTGAAGAAAGATGAGTGTGCTACTTAGAGAGTAGAAACTAGTTAT